AACCTACGGCTTGCTGTATCCGAGACCACTACCAAGGAAACTCCTGCCGACAGAGGCTTAGTTGGAGAGCAGAAAATGAGCTCAGCGGTGTAATAGGTTCATTCTATGGCCGCTGAGCTCATTTTCTGCTCTCTAAATTTTGCACTGTTTGCTGCTTACGAATTCTTGAGAGTATTTTTCTCTGCCTCTTGCCTCCCAAGAAGATTGGTGTCCCATGCCACCAGTCATTCAAACAATGGAAGCCATACGGACGTACACAGTCTAAACTGCTTCCGTTTTTGGCTATTAAACTTCTTCTGAATTCTATTTTTGCCCCTGAGATGTCGAGGCCTCACTTCCACTGACGCTTATTTGCGGGATTTCATTTCATGCGCATAAATTATTATACAGACGCTTCAATATCTCATTCTGAACTGCTATTGTATTATAGGTCCACTCTACCCTTTTATCTTATTTTCCTGAGAGTTTTTTTCTCCAAAACTCTTTTACAAAACTGAAGCCGTCGAACGCTGCCTCCATTTTCGGCGTAGGAGTTTTCTCACTTCCAATCTCGAAGCTCACAATCATTTTCGAAAGAATGCTCACTGTTGTCCTAAAGGACGATTTCTGCCCATATTATGGCGAATTTGTGCATTTTTTCTGTGCAAATGATCAAAACTTTCATTTCAATGATAGGTTTTTTGACGATAACATCGATATTTTCAAATTTTAGCTCAACCAGCAAAGGATTTCATAAATAAACACAAAAATAGCAAGTAATACTATAAGAATATGATTTTTGTTTTGCATGTGGCAATACAACAGAGGTTGGATGGTGATATAGTGGACGTTGATATACCAATCCACCTCCCTATTGAAGACTTCAATGAATGCGAAAAGCAACATGCAGAGACAGAGCATTCCAAGCTTTGAACACGGTCCTTCAAAAGAACTTTCGTGTGTGTAGTCTGACCCTTATCACACGTTGTTCAACGGATTACTCCGCAAGTTCGTGATTGTTAATAACTGAAAGAAGTCACCAGGTAGAAGACAGCAGTTCTGACCACGCCCGGTATGAAATTTCTGCAACAGGTTTCCTCGTAGCGGCCTCTAACTCAAAGGAAATAAATAAAGATAAAATAAACGTGTTTCATAAGGTATCGAGCCCGCCCCGGTTACAAGATTTGTCGCACGCTTTCGATCTTTCTCGAGAATATTGACACTTTCAGCGGTTCAGGGTCTCTAAGATTGGGTAATGAACTGAAATTGCGGCCGCGCAAAGGTTCCAATGACTTTGGCAAGGCAGTCTTCATCCAATTCAGAGAACGCCCGCTTGACCTAGTACAGGACTGACATCACAGACTTGGCTAACTTCAAAACTGTGCAGTGAGAGTGCATCTCGATCAAACACTATCTGCTCTTTTTGCTTCTATTCCGCTTACTGGCTCGTGGCATTTGGCATTGCCAATACACCGAGGTACTATTCTCAAAGTAATAATGTCACATGTTACTGTACTTCTCGTGTATGTTTTCTCTTTTCAATTTACTGACGGCTGCTCGCCCTTCGTCTGCAATTATATAAACGACCCTTTTTGCTTCTTTCTGTTTTATCGATTCACTTATGGGTCACTGTATCACCAATGGAGAGTTCAGAGGCATTTGCCTATCTTTCTCTCAATAAAATTAACAGAACTGGAAAAGTTCCACATTGTTTCAAAGATGTCCTTCTCTTACAGGTGTCTCGAAGCATGCATCCTGATAGAATAATTTTCCTGCTACTATCTCAAGCAAACGATGACCGAATATATCTGGGTAAACCAAAGTAGTCCAGGTCTGCCAGTCGACCTTGGGAGCGTTAATATCTTCAATGATAAAGGCATCTCTGTTCAAGCAAGCCTTGCTCAATTCAGTCCATAAGGGGGATTCAGATCGCAAATTTGGTTTGCGGACTGTACGCAACTGGAACTGTTAGTAATCGGGCGTACTTAGTCCAGATAATTAAAGAAAAAATTAAAACTTATGCTGTCGTAGGAGGTGGCTCGGAAAGTGCAGTTATGTAAGAGTCGCGGCGTCTCCTGACTCGTCTAAAGAGTTTATGACTACGTAGAGATTCCTCTTAATTGCGGACAACTCTATCGTTTGTCCCTTCAGTGAGGACCAGTCCTGAGGTGCTAAAATCTACAAGCAGTGGGTTCACCCTTTTTACAGTCTATTTAGATCTCAGTAAGGCGTTTGATCGTGTTGACCATAATCTCCTCCTCCTCCTGGTGCTTGCCTCTTTTGGAATAGGTAAAAAGGCTTCTGAATTTAATGTCATCCGGTTTGAAGGCGCGCACACAATTAGTTAAAATTTTCAATGGAATCTCCAACTTCATACATGTGCGGAGTGGATTTATTCAGGATAACGTACTTGGCCCGCTCTTAGTTTGCCTTTTGTCGACGATGTTCCTCATTGCTTCTAGTATGGTAGACCCTTTACGTACGCTGACGATTTAAAAGTTGCCTATCGATGTAAACCAGTAGAGCACAACATTGTGCTCGAGCTCATAAACGAAGGATCTTCAGGCCTTTGCCTTGTGGTGCTCTTCATGGCGCCTCTCCCTTTCATGGCACAAATGTTCCGTTATGGTTGTTGGCGACGATCATCAGCCTAAACTAAGCTACACGGTCACTAAATAAATTTGCCCGGAACTGCTAAGGACAGGTGCGTATCTAATAGTCTCAATCTGTCAGAGCGATGAACTCTGACTGTCTCCAAAGCACGCCTATCTATCTGATCTATTCGCAGAAATTTTAAGACCATCAGGGTATTTTTTACCTGACACTAAAGAAGATGACTTTTTGTTATGGATACCTTGAAACCATGGATTTCTAATGACTCCAATGATGATATGGAATGTTAATTACAGTATAATGGATTTGGGAAGACCATGGCTAACAAGGTAAAATAAAAACAAACGCTGCATGAAACTCAAATATTATAGAAACTTGAAAAATGTAGGGAAATTTCTTCAAACTTACTGTTTTACGTCTTGTCACGGACGATTTCAACTCGATATAATCTTAAAACTTTGACTGCGACTCCCGAAAATAGCCCGTAGTTTGCCATATTGCGTGTACCACATATGGCGCACGTCGCAGTCAAAGTGTTAAAGAACGTGATCTGCCTGTGGTCATGGATCCGCACCGATAACATGGGATCTCTATTAGTTATTCATTTATATCCTGGGGAAATTTCATATAGATGCTTCTAGTGAGCATCACTAAGTGCATGGCTTGGATATTTGCAGATATTTGCTAGAAGAGCCACAGCATCCACCGACCATGAACGCAAATTGCTGCGTATCAATCACACAGACATTGCAGCTATGGCTCATTTCTTACGCCAAACATATGCTCTTTTACTTAAGTGCCCTAGAGTTTCCATACTCCTTATCCTTTTAGTTACGGTAACAGCCATAAGCTTGATTTCCGGGTACCGAAATATAGTACCTTGACCCAGCTTGGCAACTTCGGAACATTACCCAAACCCGACAAACACGGCTCATCCGGAGCGCTAAAAATAAAAGAGTGAGTTTGTGTGTGGATTGCTCGTTTGTCAACGTTTTATCTTATATTCACGACGAGGATGGAATATGATCCGGCCTCTCCAACAGAGTAAGAGGAAAAATTTTTCATACATTTTTAATTAGTGAGATCGACGATGTACCTGAGTGCGTCGATATATCCTCAATCCCACTACCTGGTTGTTTAGATTTATGTCTAACACCTTTTTAAGATTTCCCAAGTGAAAACATATCCAGCTCCAAATTGTTGGCGGATGTAACTTTAGGGGATATTCCGCTACCTCCAAAAGCCAACCTGTCTTCGATTTCACTGCCTCCTCACCCACAAATTTCAGCCAACGGTCTTGTGAACTTATCTCCACCACCGCCACCTCCGCCTCCACCACCCCCTCCGCCACCGCCTCCTGCAGTTTCTTCATCAAACCCTGTTTTGTCCCACAGTGAGACTGGAACGGTACCTTTTCCAAATTTTCGCCCTGAGCAGATAACCGATTCTGCAAAGTCTGCTCCCCCCTCACAGTCCAACACAACTACCGAAAAGGGTGATAATTCTGTCGTTCCTTTTCGATTCGGTTATCTTAAAAAGAGGTCCAGACCTGCACTGCTTCAAGTCGGTGTCTTGCCGTCAAAGGCGAAGCATCTAGAAACCGAAACGAAGACAGGTCTTTTCAAACCGACCAAAGAAGACGAAGCTGAAGTAAACGCTGAGCTCTCAAACGACCCGTTAATTGTTGTCCAAGCCAAGTTGCATCCGGCTCTAACTACTTTGACCGAAAGCATTCGCAGTCACCTCAGTGCTGTGGCTACTTCCCATATCATCCCGGAAGCTTCCTCTACGGACTTGACCTCAGTGTTACGGGATGTGAATGCTATTAACAATTTATCAGCCTTAACGACGGTTAATCAGATTAACGCATTCATGGAAAATTTTGCCAAATCTGAAGCTACTGTCTACAAAACCGGCGATAGTCACTCTGCGTCCCATCTGCCCGGCAAGCGACACCTCAGTTCATCTCCCCCAACGTCACCCAAAAGGTCACGCGACGTGTCGGACACGACTCAAACCGTAAGTGAAAACCCGGACTTTGAGAAAGTTTCTGAGACTCTGAAGTCAATGGGACCTCCTATTGATCAGACCTCGAATTTTTCAAGCCTCCAGTACATGAACCCACAAAAAATGCGTTCTGCACAGATGATCTCCATGCCATTGATTGCGAATCCAGTCTTGGCCAATCAGTCCAAGCAAACTTCTCGAAGTCGGACCCTTGATGATAAGGGTGCATCCAGGCGTCGTTCTCGCTCGCACTCAAAGTCGAGATCTTCCCGTCATCGCAGCCGGTCCACATCAAAACGTCGTACTCACTCGACAAGTCGCCGTCCTTCAGATGACCGTTTACGACAGCAACGTCATTCTAACCATTCCGATGGCTTACATTCTTCCCGGGAGGTGCGCCATTCTGAACAGAAGAGGAAGGAGACAAATTGTGCCCAGGTTTCGCACCAGAAAGCTGGCCAGAGATCCGAAGTAGTATCAGAGAAAGCCAAGGACAAGATTCTTACTTCTAAGCCAAAACATAATCGAGATTCGGTCAACTCGCGTGAACAGAAACCGTCACGAACTGCTTCCTCTTGTGTATCTTCAAAAATCCAAAGTAAAAATACCGGCAAGATGTCGGATCGTCCGAAAGAAACTGATACCACCTCTGGTCAGCCCGAAAAGAGCGAAAAAATAGCTAATTCGTCTTCACCAAAAGAGGATAATAACAAGCAAAAAAAATCTGAGCGCAATGGATCTAAGCGACCCTCCGATAGTCAACCGAAAACCAAAACTGAAGCAAAGCGACGGTCCACTCATGAGGATGTAAAAATCTCGCCCAAGAAGTCTGATGTTGACTCTGCACGGTCAACGACTAAGTTGTCCGCTGGCCGACAGTCGCATTCTGAGCGGAATTCTGAGGCATTTTCTGTGATAGAAAGGAAATCATCTGGAAAAAGGGAACCGGAAAAGTGTAGGAACCACAGCGAAAGGGAGAAAAAGGACGTTACGGTCAAAAAAGGCGAGCAATCTTCCAGTAATAAAAGAGAAAAAAGTGGAGCCTCTAGGATAGTCAAGGCTGAATCGGTTCCCGAGTCGAAATCTCAACTATCCTCCAAAATGCCAGTAAAAGATGAGCAATATTCCACTAGTAAAAGAAAGAAGGATGAAACCTCTGAGAAAGTCAAGCCTGAATCGGTTCCCGAGTCGAAATCTCAACCGTCCTCCGAAGTGCCAGAAAAAGGCGAGCAATCTTCCACTAGTAAAAGAGAGAAGAGTGAAACCTCTAAGACAGTCAAGGCTGAATCGGTTCCCGAGTCGAAATTTCAACTATCCTCCAAAATGCCAGTAAAAGATGAGCAATATTCCACTAGTAAAAGAAAGAAGGATGAAACCTCTGAGAAAGTCAAGCCTGAATCGGTTCCCGAGTCGAAATCTCAACCGTCATCCGAAATGCCAGAAAAAGGCGAGCAATCTTCCACCAGTAAAAGAGAGAAGACCGAATTGGTTCCCGAGTCGAAATCTCAACCGTCCTCCGAAATGCCAGAAAAAGGCGAGCAATCATCCACCAGTAAAAGAGAGAAGCTTGAAACCTCTAAGGCAGTCAAGCCTGAATCGGTTCCCGAGTTGAAATCTCAACCGTCATCTGAAACGCCAGATAATTCATCGAAATCTCGCGAACGCGACGAGCGCCCTCCCTCAAAAACGGATGAGGAACCCTCTTAAATCATTTACCAGCCACCGAAAAAGGCTACAGATGGGCATGTAAAGCGATTTCCTCCTTCCCCATCTTGTGCCTTCATTGGAATTAATGCACAGCATTTCGGTCTGAAATATGTGACTTCTTGTTCCTCTTTGCAACCCACTGTAAATATCCCCCTCTTTATGCACTGTGGCACGCATCATGGCAAGATTTTTTGAGATCTGCCAACATTTATCTTTGCTGTAAATTTTCTGATTGAAATACAGAAAAAAAAGTATTTGAAACGAGTCTTGCTTTTTTTTCAGTGCGATTGAGAAGCATTACATGCTCATCTTTGCTCGCATTATTCTACGCGAATTACTTCTTTCAGGCCTTCCAAATTGCCCTGTGGTGGCTTCATTTCATCCACGGCGATGACTTCTCTTGATGTCCACCTTGACGAGAAGGCTACCTCACAAAATCCTTCCCACTCTCCTCCTCCTCCTCCTCCTCCTCCCCAACGCCCTCCCGCGTTTGTGACCGCTATCGCCACTATGTCCTCTATTTTGGCATCTACTGCCTCCACTGCCACCTCCTCCTCCAGCGGTTATTCCACCTTTTCCGTCAGTTGCCACACTCCTCTGTCCTCTGACGGCAGCACTTTATCCTCAGAACCCGGTTCCTCCTCTTCCTACTTTGCCGACTGTGCGTCTGCCGACAGTGAGGCCAGGTCGAAGAAGAGTTCGGCGTTGCAGCAGAAGAGTGCGCCTGATTCCATAACTGCAAATTCTGTCGCTCAGCCAACTGGTCCTCCACCACAGAGTTCCAGCCGTCGACTGCCGTCTTCCCACCACACAAAATGCTCTCTATCTTCGAGCAACTTGCAGGCGCCCCTGACTGAATCGGATGATGAATCCGCGGACGACAGTTCCCGTCCCCACTACCGACTTCGTCAGAGGAAGCAACGCCGCGTTATGGATGATGCTGATTACACCAATCAAGACTGTTGTCCTTTCGATATCACTCAAGTGCTGCGGTAAGTAGAACGGTTCTAACTCT